GAAGCTCTAGAGATCTGCTGAGCACTCTAAGAGGGTCTAATGCATTGCAACTGGGTAGTAATTTGTACTCTTCAGAAGACTGGTTCAGTAATGGTTCCTCTCATGCAAGGCACATTTTCTCAATGAAAAAAACAAGACTTAGGTAAGTTTCAGTATAATACCATGGCTATAAAAATAAAGCTGGGATTTTTGTGACACTGCATCAAATCACGGTTATTTAGTACCATGCTTGATGTGAAAGCATTAACAATGAGTGAAGAAACACAAAGAAATTAGATTAAAAATGCCTAGTAAAGCATGAAGGCAAAATGCAAAAGTAAGCATGCAACAAACCCCAGATTTATTTTGGGAAGAAATTATGCTGTGAATGCAATAGTATCTCACACAAAATCATGGTCCATATGTTCTTTTTGACAAAATGTATCTCCATCTCCACAGGCTGCAAAGGAATGGGAAGGCAAAATGCATTCATGATTGTGCAGTCAGGAGACAGAGATCTCCTGGACACGCACCAACTCTTACTAAATTTAATGGACTTATAGACTGTTAAAATTTGTTACAACAGATCTTGCCTCTAATGATAAAAACAATATTGGTTGATCTAATTATATTTATGGGGGAAACATATTCTGTATCCATACAAGATTGCATGAAAAATGTATTGAAGTTTTGCACTTTCAGCTTCATCATCAGGTTTTTGTATTGCTTATTCAGGCACAGTGGCATTGTTTGGCCTGGCAGTTACATGTGTTATTGAAACTGCTCCTGTCTCTCCCCGTCTGCATCTTTGGTGCCCTCTTCCTGTCAGAAGTTAGACAGAAAATAAGCTGGTTTGACTTAAAACAATTTTTATATTTTTAAATAGTAGGTCCTTTCTCTGGACACAAACAGCCCTAATGTTGTGATGTTGTCACATTGTGTGTAAACACCCATGTGTAATGTACTCTAGGAGGATCCTGCTTGGGCTTGGAGGTTGGACCAGCTGACACTCTGTAGTCCCTTCAAACCTGACCCATTCTGTGATTCTGTGGTTCTGTGAATTGAAGACCAAGAAATGACTGCAGCTGTGAGGGAGGAGCAGTCATTAGCTGAGAATTAAAATTCTCTCGAGCTGCAAATGTAAAATCAGTTATTTCTAGATCCAAAAAAAGAGCATCTTTTATGCTTTGGGCATTAGTGACTATGACGTTTTAGATAACGTGGCTTCTCCACTCCTTCCCCAGGTCACAAAGTGCTGCTGGTTCCTGACCTCAGCCTGCCAATTCAAATGTGGTGAAGAAGAAACCCAAACCTTAGGTTTCTTAACTTAGGCTACAGCTGTTGCCTTTTTTTCTGCCCCAACAGGTACAGAGGTGCCAAACCATCAGAAGCAGCATCCTGCGAGTGACTGGTGAGTTATGGGTCACTGTCAGCAGGATCGGGTCTCTGTCAGCACGGATCTGCTGAATTCCCTACCTGTGCAGGTGAGCCTGCAGCCCTGAGCCCTGCTGCCCTCCCTGCTCTGGATGTTCCAAGGAGAAATTCTCGGAAAATTCGCGGTGCCTGAGACTGGAGGCGAGACTTGCAAGCGGTTTGACAGCCACAAGAGGGAGGCCCTCTTACTGGCAAGGAGAGGACGAAGTCATTGGAGGTCAGATTGTTGCTTCAGACCAAAGTGCTTTTGGCTTTATTCAGCCCAAACAACCACACATGCTGATGGCCACGCGGGATTTTTACAAGACTAGTGAAATCAGAACTTCTAGATTTTGTTAATGTCGAAAAAAAAGTAAGACTACCAAGCTGTGACAAATTATTGCTTTGGAGCCATTATTTTCCAGGGGAGTCAAAAGGGAAATATTATTTTTTACTGTCAGTATGTAGATGTGTGACTCTGTGTGCAGGGAACAAATGCCCTAAAGCCCACTGCTATACCATCCACATTTCTTCCAAAATAAAGGGCTAATACTGAAAATGCTTTATTGAAATATTTGGTGTTATTTCTCTTCCTCTTTCTCATGAACTTTGTCATGACAAAGTTTATGCACGAAGACTGAGGAAATTGTATGTGTACAAATATTGAGAGTCAGCCAGCAGCAGAAATAAATCCGAGGATTGTACAGCATGCAAGCAGTTGAACAAAATTATTACTGGCACATGCCGTAACACAGTACCAGAGAAATGTCCTTTTGTGAGCAAGTTCAAAGCAGAGTTTTGATGAATTTGAAGAATAAACAAATCAGCAGGATAAAATCTGATTGCATGAGGTGTTTACAAAGCTCAGCTGCAGACAGCAAGAGCCTTTCAGTGGCCTCTGTGGGCTTGGGTTCAGCCTAAAGATTGTATTGGAAAAGAGAAGAGCATGACCAGAGCGAGCTGGCTGGGCATGGTATAAGGGCTCCAGTAAGATGAGGGAGAGTACAAAGAGGTATCCTCTAGAATTAAAGAGTTGTGATAGTGAAGGTGTACACTAACATGTCAAGGCCTTCTTAAATGGTTTACAGCACACAGATGTAAAAGCAGAGCTAAATGGAGGCTGTAGAATGCTGTTAAATCCATCTGTGATAGCTAGAAACAACATAATATCTATAGTCTTGTCAACCACCTCCCTTTTATTCAAAACCTGCCAGTTATTCCAAATTGAAATATGACATTCCAAAATGTAGTAAATGTCACTAACTACCACAGTGAATAGATTTTATGTTCAGAAAATATCACCAAAGGTGGAACTTAGTAACTCTGATATAAAAAAAGTAAAAATACACGGAAGTGTCCATGAGTTTACCAAAGGCAGATATTTTAAAATATATATGTATATATATATATATATATATATATATATATATATATATCAGTGTAAGATTAAAAGAGCAAGAACAAAATACGGACAAATTTATGAGAAAATGAAATTATTTCTAACCAAGATAACAAAGTTCCCATGGTGGGAAGTAGTGGCAGCAACAGTCCTGACAGAGTACAGGGCACAGCTTGCTCAGCTCATAAGACTGCCCATGTTTCTGCAGTTCCCTGTTCCTACTCTTCTCTTCGATTAAGTGCACCAGAGATCCCATACAACAGAGGATCCAAGGCCTCCATTAATGATGAAAGAGAGAGGGATGAAAGATCCCACTCCCTGATGTGTCCTAAAGGCACCCAGGTCATTATCAGAAAGTGCCAGTGACAGAAGTGGTTGGTTACACAAACTGCACAGAGCTCAGCGCAATCAGAAATGAGCAGAATTTCCAGAAAAGCATCTGCATTTAATTCTCCACTCAGGGAACCTCTGAACATTTCACATGTACATAAACAAGCATATTTTTCCTTCTTTGCTCTATGCTTCAGGAAAAATTGTCTCTTAAATAAAATAAAATAAAACAAAAATGGGTTGTACGATACAGAAGCAATTTAATCTGAAAGAAAGTGAGCTCACAGCCACAAAGGTATTAAGCACTGTTGGATTATGAATAGGCCAAAATACTGCACTTTGTATTAACAAACATTTTAGAAAACTTGTGATCATGGATTTGTGATTTTTTAAAACTGTCCTTGAATTAATTGACTAAACAAATCATTCCTAGAGATATTTGTAGTCCAGATTCAGAATGTGCTGTCAGCAAAAACATGTGTGGCTGTGGCTGAAAGTGCATTTACACAAAAGTGGTTTTCACATCTTCAGTACCCCAATTTGAATGAAACAAGCCCAGGTAACAAAGGCTATTAAGCCTGAAAACAATTTCAGATTTAAATATTGAGTGTATAAATCTTTAATAAATTAATTTATGCTTTTAGAAACATATGTATGATTTTGCAAGTTTCAGGAGCTTTTAAATTTTATTTGCAAAAGAATCCTCCTTTCCCTCACTAAAGCCACTCAAATATTTAACATAAAGGGTGAACAAGTCTGTGTGCTCAGGCCATGATTTTCCACATGACCCTTCAAATACTGCAGATCAGCTTTTTCATACAGTGCAGGATATCCAAAGCCAAAAGAAACCCAAATGCAAGCAAACTATATACAGCTTTGTTCTCATCAGCTCAATGTCATGAAAACAAGAGGTGCCAGTTGCCTTTTTTAGGACAAAGACCAGGATGGTTCTGTCACCAAGGTGTGGGGCAGCCCCCCAGCACTCAGCCCAGGGTGATGGAAAATTCTGCCAGAGGCTCACTGCAGAGACAAAGCAGGGCAGCTGGTGCCACAGAAGGGATGGATGGTTCCCTGCTGAGAGACCCTGGCTGCTCTGGATCCTGTCCTGGGTGTCCCCAGTACCGGCTGGGGGGCTCAGGGCACTCCTTATTTCATACTTTGCCTTTCTCTGCAACCAAGGGGATCAGAAAATCAGTTCTCAGCTCTAATACACTGTTGCAGAGCTGGGCCCATGGAATTTCTTCTGCAGGAGCGGAGGGATGGGATGCCTGGGGTGTTGCACTACCTGCTGTGATGAGCTGAGCAAGGACCACCTCTGGGGGAAGGTCTCCAGGGACTGATGAGCTGATATTGTGATCCACCTCTATTTCTCCATGCAAACTCTCTGAGCTCATTGAGAAGTCTTATCCACATGCTAAAAACAGTTTTGGATAACCCCAACGTACTTCTGTGTTAGAATGTTTTTCTAACACTTTTGTCTGCTCTATAAATCTGTGTTGAACCTTGTCCTTTCCCTCCCTCCTGTGCAATTTCAGTAACAGGGCTGCAGTGTCACATTACAAACTTTGGCAGACCAGCTTTACAGCAAATTGCTTCACCTCCATGTACTCAAACCTGTTAGAATTCAGCTTTTATTTCAGCTGGCATTAGGGAAGTTGTAAAATCCATTTATGATTATGTTTTGATTAGTGTTACTTTTATTGCCCCTGCAGGTAGTTTCCCTAAAAAGCCACCACTGGGGCACCAAGTTTCTGTCTGTACATTTTTCTACAAAACAGGGTTCTTGACCGCCTGGTTTCTGCCTACCACTGCAAGCCCAGGGCCCACGGCCAGGCGGAGGCGAGAGAGTTCTGTTCACCCCACCCAGACCTCTACTCACCCCAGCTCTGGGTGCTGCGCCGTGATGTAGTTGTAGCATCTTCCCAGAATAACTTCTTGCAAGTTCTTCGTGGTCCCCCTGTCCTTCCACTTCAGCATTTGGGGGGTGATCTCGTGCCTTCCATGGGTCAGGAGAGAGGCCAGCACGACGGCGAGGACGAGGGCGGCCAGCAGGACGGCGATGCCCACCAGGAGCACGGTGCGCTGCCGCGCCCGGGCAGAGCCCTGCTGCAGCGGCATCGCGCTGAGCGGCGGCGGCAGCTGCTCCGCCGCGGGGACAGCGGGGACAGCGGGGACAGCGGCGACTGCGGCCAGCCCCGCCGCCCCCGCCCCGGCGGATGCCCGGGAGGCCGGGCTGACCCCCGCCCGCCCCGGGTCACCGGCCGCCCGCAGAGCGCGGGGCTGTCCGGGCAGCGCTGCGCCCTGCCGGGATCCCCGGGCTGTGCCGGGCTCTCCGGGCTGTGCTGGGATTCCCGGGCTGTCCCGGGATCCCCAGGCTGTCCCGGGATCCCTAGACTGTCCCAGGATCCCTGGGCTGTGCCGGGCTCTCCGGGCTGTGCCGGGCTCTCCGGGCTGTCCCGGGACACCCAGGTTGTCCCGGGATCCCCAGGCTGTCCCGGGATCCCGGGCTGACCGAGGAGCGCGGGGCTGACCGCGGGCGCCAGCGGTCCGGAGGGGCAGGGTCCGCTTCCCACCGCCCCCGCCCCGCCGGCTCCGTCCGTTCGCCGGTTTTAGAGCCAAAAGAGGGATTTTTGGGGCTCGTGGAGGGAGGGTGAGAGCCTGGAGGCTGTTTGTGCTCTGTGCCTTACTTTGCCGGGACCTCCCAGAGTTAAATTTCGGGAAGTTATCTGCGGTAACGCACACAAGTGAACCCCAGGAAATAACTTGTAAAGTTTTTGGAGTCCTCGTTCAAATAATTGTAGCGACGTGCTCCATCTAACGAGCGAGTAAAAGATGAGCTCAAACCACCACAAGTCTGCTTACTCTAGATTAATCGTTTTGTACAGGACAGGGGTTAAATGTGACTTCACCTAAGGCAACTTTGCGGAATCGACTTTGCAGTGGTCATATCAACTATACAAACATAGTTTACCAGCACACAATGGGTTATTTTACTTCTCTCCCTTGCCCATAGGCTTGGATTAATTGTCACATGAATTGCTAAGGCAAGTGTGTAAATTATGGGTGTTTGAGGCTGTGTGAAATCATCTAAGGAAGTATTAAGTGTCCTCTGCAAGATTACAGTTCCTTACTGTAATCTCCAAAGAGGGCAATTCTACTTCTTTAGTCAAAAAGTCAAAACCAAGTAAGACTCAGATCTCTAAATCTTAACAAAAGAAGTGATGCAATTCCAAAATATTAACTATTAATTTTTCATAGATTTTAAATAATTGCTTACCAAGCATCTGTCTTTAACAGATTGAATTTAAAAAAGTGAATTTGTGACAAATTTTAGCCAGCCCTAAGCAGTTCTGAAAGATTTGAGAAATGCCATGCTCTGACCAAAGCCTGCACTAGCAAGAGGTATTGCTAAGCATACTTTTCTGATTACATTTTCCCAGAAATCATAGGAACTTTGCAGAACTGAAACCTCAGTTTTAAAGTGACATATCAGGCTGCCAGACATGAAGTGGTCAGGCAGTTATAACAATATCATCTCCTCATAAAAGGGACAATGGTGTTCTCTCTATGACACAGCTTGTGACCCCTGTGGTTCCCACTGCTGAGAGTGCACAAAGTGCAGGAAGATCTGGAGGAGACAGTTCAGTAAGAATTAACTCATAAAGTAAGGTTTCCCTATATTCCTCTCAATAAGCATGTGGGTTTTCCTTGACAGGCTCCATTGATTGATCTATATTTTCACTATCCTGTAAATGTGAACACAAAGTATTCACAGCTGAACTGTGAACTATTTTATTATATGTAAATACAAGAGAAGCTCTTGAATTTAATATTGTTGTTGTGTTGTTTTTTGTCTTTCCTGTGTTTTATACTTGTGATTTTAGTTTCATTAACTAAGAAAATATGTTGGGAAAACCAGCTAGTTATCTTGAGCAGTTTATGCAGTAACATTGCAATATCTGCTTGCTGTGGGTATTGAAAATACATAGCTTCAGTAAGTGTAACAGTCACTTTAAGAGTGGAACGATGGAATAATTAATTTAAAGGCTTAAAACTTTAAAAGTGTTATTTTTCTGTAGTCTGATTTGTGAAAACTTTTTCATCTTTTCAGATATGACAATGATTCACCAAGAATGAATAAGTAAACAAGGTGAGTGCAGACTCAGAGGCTCTGGAAGGTGTCCTTGCTGCTGATTTTGTAACACCTCGAACTACATAAGGAGTGTCAAAGACAAGTAAATGTCAAGCCTCCTTTCAGCAAGCCTTGGCAGCCTAATCAGGATGAATAAATAGGACAAGCAGAGTTGAGCAGGCAGCACTAAAAACCAGTAAAAGCTCGTACTCCCAGTGTTTCAGAAGGTGGCAGATTCTTTCCCAGCATGAATGCAAGCATGAAATCACACCTCACAAAGTTTCTGGACCTCGAGTATTTCCATGAGATAATAAAAGCGCCTCAGCAAAGAAGAGATGAAACAGTATTCCCTGAATGGGATGAGAAGGAAGAACAGAAGATAAAGTGAAATGAGGAGGGCTGAAGGAGGGTGAAAAGCAGTGCAAGGGCCTTGCATTCCCTTACCTCTGTGGAGTGAGCTAAGGGAATGAGCTGGATTTCATTTCTTTCCTGAGAAGTTTTCCCAATGCCAATGACCTCAAGCTGAATGACTTTATTACACGGGAATTCAGTTCTGTAAACAGGACCCTACTGAAATCCAAACTTAAGATTTCCTCCATGAGTGCAGTTAAGGGCTCATGGATCTCTATTAATCTTGAACTGTTTTCCTAGTGCTTATTTTTCCATTCTATAAGGAAAATCACAGTTTTTGAAAGCACTGTATCTTATAAACTGATAGCCAACCTCTGGAATATTCTGAGCTGTGTGAATTTCCAAGATATCAAATCTAAACAGATGTTTTCAAGGTGTGTGTACTTTTTTGAAAGCCTTTACACTAAATCTTCAGGCAGGATGATTAGAAATTGTTTGTAAAAGATCAGAATACAGAAATACTTAAGGAACATAATTGCCAGTCTCTGCCTTGACACCATGTATTGCAGCAGGGAACTTGATAAAAATGGTTCTGTATTAAGTAAAATTTATCCAACAGTATAGGAGTATTGTAAGACAAAAGCAGCTAGTTCCCACTGCTACCTGAGAGTCCTGTGGATGATATTTTTGAGGCAGCTGGGGATAAGAGACTATCTTCCAGCTATTCCTAAGGCCCGATCACTCAAACTTTTGATTATCCTTTTCTTTTTTTACTGTCAAATGTAGATAGTTCAGGCACCCAAAGCATGGCTGAGGAGAGAAAGAATCCTTCATGGTAGAAACTGCTGATGAAAGGGGGTGTGCAGCAGGTGTGACTGAATCTTTCAAAACAACCACAATATCCACAGTGCTACTAAACACTCCCAGTACTGTGGACACCTGTAATTTCTGGATGTCACTTCTCAGCAGAACTTACAAATGAGAGAACTTGATCTGAAAAGAGCAGAAGCTGTTATAAGAATTAAACAAATTATATCTTCCCTGGATATTGTTGGAATAGCAGTGGCTGTAATCTCACTGATTCCCAATTTCACAAAGCAGATGCTGTCATAAAATTTAGGGAATGTTTGAGAGGAACACTGAAAATTACGTGATCAAAAGGCTGAGACAAAGAAACCAGCTAGCACAAAGAGACAGCTGTGAAAAAAATATGTGCCATCTAATCACACACACCATCTCCTGCAAAAAAAGCCTTTGTAACTCAGTGTCTGGGCATCCAGTTCAGCTCTTCTTTCTTTCATCTCCTCTGTAGATGCTGCTAAAATGTAAATTTTCCTGGTGAGTGGTGCTGTGGGCCCAGTGCATCACCTGCAGCATATAGGAGCTATTTTACCTGTAATTTGCTTTCTATTTTCCTGGTGGCAGCCTCCACTGCACCTAACCTAGAGCTATAGTCAGGCAAAGAGACTGGCAGAGAGACAGTGGTGCCTCATCTCTGTACCTGCACTGGTGGCCATCTAAAGCACACAAAAAGTACCCCATTGGTGTCTTCTGCACAGCCACATCTGCTGCTGGGAACACAGGACATGTTATACTCTGTTCACCAGATGAGCTGCCTGGAGCTGGTCTGAGCATCAGCATTTCCTTCCCAGCCCCAAATCTTTTTTTGTTCACCTGGTTGATGCTATATAGTTTTCTTCTTCAGTATTGTCATATTGTCTTGATCACTTTATGTTACTCCACACAGATTTCGACATTATTTACACTTGCTTCTCCTGTAAATTCTTTAAGATTACTTCTGATGACAAAATGCTTTATTATATGTCCGACTCTAAGTATCAGATATCAGGGAGGGTTAATCTCTTCAGAACAGGATGCTGTGGCTTCCATTCACAGAAGTAATACAAACAAGGCTTCTGCAGCCCAGTACATAAGATTCTGGTTGAAACTGGGTAATTAGTGCACAAGAATTTGGAAGGAAAAAGACTGACAGAGAGAGGAACAGAGAAGCAAACCAAGTGATTGCATAGGCTTCCTTTCTTTTGTAAACTCAAGGGAAATTCTCTTCCCACTTGCAAGGCTGCAAACAGCAGTGACACAAAGTGTGATAAATAAGCGACACCACTTGCTGCAGGTGCAATATAAAATCTACCTGATGGATGAGGTAACTGGCTGTCAGAGCTTTGCCAGCTGATCTGATACTACAGTGTTCCATAGTATATTGAATTTTTTTTAACCTCTTCAGCATTTTCTCAGTTCTTTGAAAGGATATTGTCTCCTTTTGTCTCCGTGCCTTGCTGCATAAAGAAGCTGTTTGAAAGTACATAAGCCTTTCTGTGTTTCCTGTGTGGTTTGTATACAAAGTGCAGGGCTCTGGTAGCACACAACAACTGCCTTGCAGCTTGTAGCAATTGTGTAGCAAGTGTAGAGATAGATTTAGCTTCCTCCAAGCTGAGGCTTTGCTGCATTTACCTTATAACTTTGGACTACCACATTGAATCCCTGTTTCGTTCAAATGGAGATTTAATTTGTACCTGACCTTTGTCTAAGTAGCTCACTGGAGCAATCAGTAATGTAGATATAAAATTGACCACTGAGTTTAAAGACACATAGCTGTATTTTCACTGTTTTATTTTAGACACTGGCAGCTTTTCAAATCTCTAAGATTTCAGTCCTGAACTCTTCTTCTAAGCATCCCGAAAAATTGTAAAAAAATTAGCTGTGCACCAGTCCTCAAAACTAGAAATGCTTTCTGTGTGTGTGAGGGCAGGTACATTGTCTCACTGCTACTGAATTTTTGTGAGGAGGTGCTCCTGAACTAATTTGTTGGGAAAATTAGTAATTTTTTAATTGC